ATACAATATTAGTAAAGCTTAATTTTTTTAGATGAAAATAACTATGAACAGAAGTTCTGATCATTTCTTCCCATCGTCCCAGTGGGTCACTGTGCATATGTTCCACATTGGAGGTTGCACCTCAAACCAAAGGGGCCCGTGACAAGTCACAGTCCTCACCCCTTTGTTCGCAGGTCTCTTCTCAGCTCTGCCCAGCACACAAGGGCTCTACCTGGGGGCTTGTGTCAACCCCATGCAATGTGCTTCAACCTGTAGGCTTTCTACTGTGTTCTTGGAGTCAAGGTTCCCTGCCAGGGGTGGTAGGAGGTTGTGGGCAGGAGATGGGGAGGAGGAGGGAACTCTTCTTGCTCTCTGGCTTCTGGCTGGTACAGATCTGGGTGTCTGAGACAGAGGCAGAAGAAGATGGAGAAAGGAAGCCTCTTTTTATCTTCCTTACGATGGGAAGGGTGGCTTTGTTTTAATAAGAGAAAGAATGAAACACAAATTGTTTTTCTCCAGTTCCAGGGGCCAGATCTCCAGAATCAAGTTTCTCATTAAAATATCAAGATGCAGAAAAAGACAAAAATTCACACCACGATCACCAAAGACCTGTTGACAGGCTGGAAGGCCTGTGACACTGTGACAGCCTGTGTGCAGAACCTGGAGCCCCAGGAGGGAAGAGTCCAAAGGAAATCTATTCCAGCGGCTGGAGGGTCATTTACAAAACCTGGCTCGGGATCACGACACTCAGCCCGCTTTATCAGTGTTAGGGGAGGCCTTGCCGCTCCTCCCAGGGAGATAAACCTCCACATGTGAGCTGGCAGACCTCTGCTCAGGGCGTGCCAGGAAAGCCCACTTCCCCAACCTGCTGCTGTAGGACCGGGGCCTCAGATGGTCCCTCCGCCAGCAGGGCAGCTTGGCGTGTGACAGTGTTTAATGAGGAGGTTCCTCAGATGGGCTCTGGGAGGCCTGTGGGAGGCGGGCACGCGGCCAGGAGAATCCCAGAGAATGCCGAGTGCCACAACTGTCAGGCCTCGGAACCCATGATGTAATGCCTCACTGGGGTCCAGGGAAAACAAGCCCGCTGTTGTCGCTGCCCTCCTGGTAACCCGATGCTGCCCTCCCCACAGCAGGCAATCCTGGGTAATTACTAATTCCCTCTCCCGTCTTGGAAGGAGGAAATGTGAAAAACCTTTATTGTCACATAAAAGCCAACCCAAGAGATGAGAAATGTATTTTAAAATGCATCTTGCTGAAGAGGGATTTCCATAGCAACTTCAGAAGTGTGTGTATACAACTAGAGATAAGTCCAGGCTGATGAAAGCCACCTGGAATGTGAACAAGCCCTGCTCTGGGCATCAGCAGACAGGAGTTTTTCTAGAACCTGTCACGCTGCTATGTGACCTTGGGCAAGTCGTTTACCCTCTCTGCTGTCTAAGGTGACAGAATCATCATCAGATCAGGCTGAGAGAGATCAAGGTCATCTTGCTCACATCCTCCTCCCATCCCGGTCCAGTGCTTCAGCCCCCAAAGCAGCCCCTACTTCCGGATTCTATCCAGTCTCTGGTTGAATAATTCCTGTCTCAAGGTCTCTGCCAATCTTACTTACTATTTGACATTGGGGAAGGACAATGATCATTTAAGCTTGATCTGAAAAGAAATTGCTTGGTCCTTTTAAGAGAAGTGCTTTGCCTGATTAGGAAAAAATATACTTTACTTACTTATGCATATTTTCACAGTTCCCCAGGGCAGATTCCTGGGGAAGAGTCTCTGAGACTCTGCGATCTGAGTGCCAGAGGTTTATGGGGGCTGCTCTCAGGATGGACACCCATGAGGAGCGAGGGAAGTAGGGCTGGGTAGAGGGAGAAGACAGAGTGCTGTGCAGTCACAACAGGAGCTTCTGGCGGTCCCTCAGGGAGCCCTGGAGCCCAGATGGCCCTGCAGAGTTGTCCTGCTAGAGGTCAAGGAGCTGGGCCTTTAAACTCCTACACTGACAAGTCACTGGATGCTTGCTGCCCCTGGGCAGGGGGCTTGACCTTGGCTGAGGCAGCTCCATTAGCCAGGGCGATCCTGGGAGAGGGACTCGGCCACAGCCGATGACCCCAGCTGAGGGAGGGGATGAGAGCCTGGGCCTAGAGGGGCCTCTGGGTGGCACACCACAGCACCCACTATACTCGGATATGTTTGCATGCAACTTGAAGTCAGCCCTGAAGACAGTGTGATAAAATGGTTAAGGGCACAGCCCTCAGAGGCAGACAAAACAGCAAGACTGGGATTTAAGTGTCAGTCTCAGTGGCTTTGAGACTCTCAGATCGGGAAAGTCGCCAAGAGAGTTGAGGCCACGGTTTCCTTGTAAGTGCAGGATTCAGCCTTGGGGGTGAGACAAACACGAAGTTCGGAGTCAGAATCAAGCTCAGATTCGGGCTCCACCTTCACTAGCTCTGTGACCTCTGGTCAGTTACTTGACGTCAGTTTCCTCAACTCTAGAATGGGGACAGTCGTGGGAGCTCTATCACAGGTCTACAGCGTGGGCAAATGGAGTAACATATTTGGAGATTTCACACAGAACTGGCACAGGGTAAGTGCCTGAAAAACAGGAGCAACGATAACACCCACATGGCTTTACTACACCTTGTGTTAGATCTAAGCAGAAGCCTTTTGGTCAAAGGGCCTTTTCACAAGAGAAAGGGAAACTTCAGGAGAACTTTTGATTTGCTCGTTGTTTCTCTGGGCCTTTGCCACGGTCTTCAGCTGGGGCTTGTCAGTCATGTCTGTGGACAGAGGCCTGGTGCTCTGCCGGGGGCCGGGGAAGCCTTGGAGGGCCTTTCAGTGCCAAATAAAATACAACAGAGTACTTTGCAAACTGTGCACTTTGAAGCACACTTATTTTCCAGTAAAAAATCATCACCTGTACTTGTGAGAGGTTCAATAAATAGCGAAACTCACTGGCGGGTACTTTGTTCCATGTTCAGCCCATGTGCTCATCTGGAAAATGGGGTGACCATACACACCAATCAGGGTTGATCTGAGGATGTGGAAGATTTAAAACACCGCAAGGGGCTGTGCAAATTCAATTGTGATTGTTGTTAGAAGACTTGGCTTCAATCAATCAGAAAGGAAAATAGAGCAGAGGACTACCTATGGTAGGAATTGATTTGTTCTGATTATAAGAAGGCAGCCACAAAATTCCCAAGAGTTATCAAGGGATCTCTGTTATTATTATTAATTTTCACTATCATTGTATTGCAGTGTACAGTACACTATCTTGTTTGACTCTAACAACAAATCCTGTAAAGTGGACATTATTAGCCCCAGTTTGCAGATGAGAAAACTGAGGCCTAGAGAGGCAAAGTGACTGGCACGATGTTGCTCAGCTCAGAGTACTATCAGGGGTTTGGGGTTGGAAGCTGAGCACATGCTTTGTCCATCGCAGAAAGGGCGTCTGCTTACCAGCAAAGGCTCATGAGCATCATGAGGTGTAGTCCAACTTAGAGCAGGTGTTGCAATGTCAGCTGCTGAGTAATGGCGGGTTCTGAATAGATGGGTGTCGTGTGTCCCTGGGGCTTTGTATGTGAGCAATGTCTGCCAACACTGCACTGGCTCTCAGAGATTGACTCTGCCATGCTTAGGGGCCCTTGTCCTGCTCCAGAAGAATGCCCTCATAGTGTGACTGTGTGTCTGCTGGCTGAATATCTGAAAGAAATGTCTGCAAACAGAACATATCAAAATATGTGGGAAATCTGGTTCAACGCACCCATGAGAGATGTTTTTAGGCTAACTCTCCTCCAGTCTTCCTTTTCTGATTTTATCTCTGCTGGGACACTGGTACATGGAAGATTTGGCAATACAACTATAAATGTTGATGAATTAAGGGTGACTACCAGGATCCATGTAAATTACACAGGACGCTTGACCAGGGCTCCCAACATAATAAAAATAACCTGTCTCAGGTGAACATATCTTCCTTCTATCTCAAGAGAGCTTCATTTTAAAATGAGGACACTGAGGCCCAGAGAGGTTAAGTGACTTGCCCAAGGTCTCACAGCCACTTAGGGGCAGAATCTAGGTTTCTAACGTAGGTCTTCAGACTCCACATGTGAAATCAGATTACAGTGAATATCTAGGGTCAGCTTGAAAGGGAGAGGCATCACTAAGGGCAGCTTGAGGGTGGCAGTGGAAGGAGAGAGCAACAGTCTTATCCTTGAGCCTCGGTGATGGCAGTTATGAGGGGCTGAGCCCCTGTGGGTTAGAGGCCCGGATCTCTACTAGGCCATATCATCCTTCTCTCCCACCAGCTGCTTCTCTGAGTCACTGCCCAGCCACCAGCCTCCTAAAACAATGTTTCCCAAGGTATGTTCCATCAGTACAGTGCTTCTTAAACTATCAAGTCAGATGAATCACTGGTTGAACTTGCTAAAATGCAAAGTCTATTCAGTAGGTCTGGGGTGAGGCCTGAGATTCTGCATTTCCAACGCGTTTCCAGTGAGGCTGATGCTGCTGGTCTGTGGATCAAACTTTGAGTAGGGAGGCATCAATAGTGTTGTACAATGAAAAGGGTTTGTGGGCGAATACTTTGCAAAAATCTGGACTAAACAAAATTAAACCACTTTCATTACTGCAGGACTTCTCAGAGCCTTTAAAATTCTAATGAGCAACGTTAATCTCCAAGAGGAAGAGATAACACGGAAATTGCAAAGTGTTATACAGGAGAAAGGGTTAACGATGTAACCAGAATGCTTTGCTATATTGGCTTACAAAGAGGGAACAGAAAATGAGGAATACTATATATTAGTTTTTCCCAGCTTACCTTGGTTCCAAAGTTTGGATGCTGCAGCTCATATTCAGCCCTGACTTGGCCCTCCCCTTTCCCATTTGCTCCTTTGAGGTGCTTGGGGATATGGCTGTCTCCATTAGACCATACACATCCTGGCACCCCCGCTCCTCCTTCCGTCCCCCATCCCAGCATGCGCTTTGTGCTCAGAAGGCCCAGATCGAGTGGAGACCCGGAGCCGCGGGAATACCTTTCGCAGACGCGGACCGTCCAGGCAGCGATGATCCACAGCGAGATGCTGAACACGAGCAGCACAGTGCCAGGACAGATGGTCATGAGGGTCTTCATGACGAAGCGGGTGTTGAAGTTGATCTTGTTGAGGGCCCCGATGCTGCGGGACGAGGCATCGGTGAAGAGCTTGCTGTGCAGCAGCATGACGCGGGCGATCAGGTACAGGCGCAGGAACATGGGGATGGAGAGGATGATGTCCACGTCGGCCTCCGCCCGCGACGGTGTGTAGGAAAAGGCCAGGCGCGCGGTCCAGAAGAACTTGTACTCGCCAGGAATGGGGTGGATGGCGCACACCAGCATCTCCAGGCTGATGTAGAGGATGCGCTCGTAGGTCATGGCTATCCGCCAGTCGTCCGCACCATTGTCGATCACGAAGAGCTGGTGGGAGCAGAGAGCCCGTTAGTGTGGCCAGGGCGGAAGCGCACAGCGGCTGAGGGAGCACGGGGCAGCTGACCCACCTAGGGGCCCTCTTTGGAGGCCTCGCTGGTGTGGTGAGAGCCCTGAGGGGGGAGTCGGGAGACGTGGCTAAGACACATTCACTCTCTGGGCCTCCATTTCTGTAAATTGCTTCCCAAGGTCCCTTCCTGTTCCAACGTGCCCCCAAACTGACTGTTTCGGGAGAAGAAGGAAGAACAGTTCATTTGTATTTAAAAAAAAAAAAAAAAGGTCCCTGAGACCCTGCCAGGCCCTGGAGGGGATGCGGAGGTGACAAAGTTATGTTTCCCGGGTGAGTGAACTCACAAGGGCTGGCAGACTCCTCTCCCCCTTAAGAGAAGAAATCGACAGGTGTTCCCTGGCAGTGCCTTGCTCTCACATCATGCAGTGGAGTGTTGTTGTGTGGGACCTGGAGACGTACCAAATGCCCGGGTCTGGATCCTGATCCTAACGCCAACCAGCTCTGTGATCTTGGGTGAGTTACTGAACCTCTCTGTGCCTCAGTTTCCCCATCTGGGGACAATAATAATACCTGCTGCATAGCGGTCTCTGTGAGGCTGCAATGGATTAGTATATACAAAGTGCACGGAATCCTGCCTAGCACCCAGGAAACGCTCTGTAAATATTAGCTGGTATTGTTTTTAGCATTTTTAGTGGATGGGTCTCAGTCTTTCTGTGAAATGAGGGTTGGGCTCAGTGATGTCTAAGCCCCTTCCAGCCCTAACCTTCCACGAAGCTGAGATTCCTGCTGTCATGGCATGAGGAGAGGCAAAGCAGCTGAAACAAGCATTTACTGAGCACCTGCTGTGTGCCCAGCCTGGGCTCGTGCCTGCATTCACATACAGGGAAGGCCCAGGCTTTGTTCTCAAGGAGGTCCCACTGGGAGGCTTCAGGGTTGAATAAGACAGCTCTGAGCATGGCCCCAATGATGAGGATCACAGAGGGGAACTAGAAAGCTCTATGGGGGCAGCTGGCTCAGGGGCCAACTTTGGCCCAGGTGCTCTAATGAGGAAGGTGTGATCTCTAAACAGGAGAGGGTACCCAGCACAGCACCCAGCCAAGACTCTCCCACCCTCCTGCCCCAGGGCAGCCAAGCCCAGGTGTTTCCAGACACAGGTTTCCACCATCTGTGGGAAGAGAAAACACCTAATGGCTGCTCAAAGGGTTCCCTCTGCCCCTAATGCTGCTAAGAGGCCAAGCCATGGCCACGTGACTGCCTGGCCAAACTCTCCACATACACAGTGAAAACCATCCACCCTATAGGAAAGAGCTGCATCAGGTTACCATAGTAACTGGGTTCACTCTGGGCAGGAACTGAAGCAAGGAGTCACAGATCCCTTTGATTCCCTGAGGGGGACCGAGATCGTATGCCATCCAAGTTAAAGGAGAGGGCGCACCATTCTGCCGCTTGGCAGGAAGGTGCTGGTCCAGGGCGGGTGTCACCACCTGCCTCTCAGGTGCCCTGCTTCTGTCTCAGTTTCCTGGTGCAGGGTGGGTGGGGGGCAACATAGGGCGGTGGAATGAGAGGCTGGCGAGCTAGACTGAAGTCTTGCACATCCAGTTATCAGCTGTGTGATCTTAGGCAGGTCACACCACGTCTCTGAGCCTGTTTCCACATCTCCGTCATGGGACTATTAACCCTGACCCTGCCCATCTCATGGGATTAGCGGTAGGATACAATACTACAGATAATAAGAGGGAATGTGCTTTACTAACTATTCTAAAAATGTGAGGGATTATTAAACTGGCTGGCCTGAGGGGCATTCATAAACAGGGTGGGGGTTGAGGGATGGAGGAATGGCAGACAGCCATTTCAGGCTGCAGATTGACAGCCTCTGGTGGATAGGGCTCCAGTGCAGGGATATGTGGATCTGTAGGGGGGGCAATATGTCCCAGAAGATTCGATTGCTGTCCCAGATGAGGACACCCTTATGCCTGCTCCCATCTGACCCCTGGAATCACAGCTCTGTAAGCGCAGCCTCACTCCTTTCAGATAACAGATTCCCCACCCTGCTGTGTCCTCACTCAGCATCGTGTTCATTCCTTACAAATCGCAAATCTCAGTTATGTATCTATTTGTGTTTACTTGGTTTTTGTCTGTCTTTCTCCCTAGAGCAAAGGTTCTCGACCTTGCTGCACATTACAATTACTTGGAGAGCTTGCTAAAAATACCCATGCCCGGGCCCACCCAGACCAAGCAAATTTGAATCTCTGGGCATGAAGCCCCGGCACTGGCATTTTTCTTAAAGCTCCCAAGCTGATTCTAAGTGTAACCCAGATTGGGACCCACCAGTCACAGTTGGAGCTCTAAAGGGTCAGGGGCTGTGTCTTTCTTGTTCCCTGGGGTATCTCCAGTGTCCAGCCCAGATCTGAGCATATAGTAGGTGTTTGATAAATGCTTGTTTAGTGAATCAATAACTACCACCTACTGGGTTACCCTGTGTTAATAAGCTCCCCTCTCAGGCTCAGTTTCCTCCTCTGGAGATTGAGGGGATGGATGGGGCACCCTGAGGTGCCCTTGGCTCTGAAGAGCCATAATTCTATGGTCCTACACAGACCCACTGGCTTGGCACATCCCACCTTGTGTGTGTTCTGAGCATATGAGCTCTCTGGGACAGGACCCACGCCTAGCTCATCTTGCCTCTCTCCAATGCCTGAGATGGTGCCTGGCACACAGTGGGCAGTCAGCAGGACTTTAGTGAATAAAGGGGTGGGTAGATGGATGACTGTGTTATATAAAGAAAAGGACAGATTGCCAGGGGCCCTTGTTAACTACCCAGAATGGAAATTCCTGTAGAAAACTCATTCGTAAGCCTGTGACTAATTAAGTACCCGACAATTCATCTTATGCCATGGGAAGAACACCTTCCTATTCCCAAAGAATGGTCCCATCTGGAATAAATTGTCCCAGGTGATCTTCAAGCCTTAGAAAGTTCTGGAGCTAATCTGGAACCAGGATCTTGAGAAGTGCTGAACCGGAGGGGAGAGGAGAAGTGGACAAGCAGCTCAGACAAAAGACTGTCCTCCCCTACGGTTTGGTCTCAGCTACCCAGGCCTGGCTCTAGAGCAGTTTGCCCTGATGAATTTTGGAAGAGTGCTGAGGTGATGTGGCAGGATTTGGCATGGGGCAGGCACACCAGGGAGCCCTTGAGAGGTCCACTGTGGACCTCTGAAGCCTCAGAAGCCTGGAGCTGACAACAAGTTTCCTCCTGACCTGGCTTAGGTTTGCCCCTTGCATGCTAAGTGGGGAAGGAAAGCCACATTCTCCAAGCTGCTGAGTCTTTCTGCTTCCTAAGCCTAAAACAGTGATGTCACTCATTTGCGGTATGGCCAGCCTGAAGAAGTAATGCTTCAGTGCCAGGGCCCATGGTCTCCTGCAAGACCCATTCTTTCCTCGGATAGGGCCCTGAGCAGAGCTGGCTCCAGACCTATTCCTTCTGCCACTTCACTGGTGGTTCTGAGAGCCTGTAGGATCGTTGGCCTGTTAGTATAATTCTGAGAACTCGGTAGGGAGATTTTATGCAACAGAGCAATTCCCAACTTGCCTTCAAGGAGCTTGTAATTAGAGAGAAAGGAGAACCAACTCAATTCAACTCAACTCAACTCAATTCAATTCAATAAAACAACTAGTAAGATCCGACTAGTACTTTAAATTTGCTGACAGTAGCTCTTAAGTGTTCTCACACACAAAAAGATAACTTGTGAGGTGATGGATGTGCTAATTAACTTGATTGTGGTGATCATTTCACAATGTATACATACATGAAATGATCATGTTGTATACTTCAAATAGATACAATTTTATTTGTCAATTATACCTCAATAAAAAAGAACCAACTAGGTTAGGACACTGTGGTGATATAAATACGAATCAGACACATGTCCCATGAATCAGCTCCCAGTCTCAAGTAGCGCTAGCATAAGAGAAGCATGATGAGGGCCCATCTTGGAAAGTGTCTTGGGCAAGGTGGGGTTTCCCAGTGCCTGGAAGGCCTGTCTCAGACAAACCTGGTGTCATAGCTTACCAGAATGGTCACAGATTCCTCCCATCCTGCTTGTTTGCTTCTTCATATATGACTTTGCCTCTCCTGCCAGCAACAGGTACAGCCTATTTCTCAACCCCTTGAATCTGAACTTGGCCATGTGCCTTGCTTTGGCCAATGGGACATTAGAAAATGTGATGCAGCAGAGGTTTGAAAAATGTCAGTGCATTGGGGCTTGAGGTAGACACATGGCCTCGTTTTCCCTGTCACCCCAGCCTACAGCCAGCACCAGCTGACGAGCATGCGAGTAAGGCCATCCTCGACAGCTGCATGACAGAAGTGCACCCAGGTGAGACCAGGAGAAGAACCACTGAGCTGAGCCCAGCCCAGACTGCTGACCCACATAATGGTGAGCTAAATGATTATTGCTTTAAGCCCTTAAGTTTCAGAGTGCTTTGCTATGCAACAGAATAATAACATAAGAAAACTAACTCATGGACTGACTTGGCACATGGATTAGAAAGAAGAGTCGGGTATTTGCCTGCCACGCCCGACGTTTCCCTTTAGCTTCTCAAGCCACAGCCCCTAGAATGAACTTCCACCCCCCGACCCCCACACAGTTGATCAGTCAGGGCTGGCCAGTCTTTCTCAAGTAACTGGGTAACTGGATGGGGAGAGGATCCTGATCAAGGGCCATGCCAGCTTCCCCCACCCCTACCCCCACCCAGTGGACTGATCATTTTATATATCAAAGAATAACTCAATGCATTTAAAAAGTTATTTTGCAAGCAGTTTACTTATTTTGCATGTGGAGTGTTCCCCACACATGAGGAAGTCAGCTGGTAGACCGAATCAAGCAACACAAGCCAAACAGAATCTATAGGGTGGAAAAGAGAAAAACCACAGTGAGTCCCAGAACAGTGAATCTTGTTAGCAGATTTGGGGGGTAAATGGATTGGC